CTCTGGGTTGTTTGTTTGATGATCCATGTGTTTGTTTTCTGGACTATATCCACAGTATTCTTAGGAGTTTTCTCCAACACCAAAGTTCAAAAGTGTCTGTACTCTTCCTATCCTGTAATATAATGAATAATGATGGAAAAATTTGGTAGTGCAAATCTATAATAAAAAGAAATAGCAATGTGAAATGTCCAATAGCAAATAAGGACATTTTATTTATTCAGTTGTTAAATTTATATCCTACTTTTTCTTCAGGAGCTCAACATGATGTCAGTAGTATTTCCTCCTCCCCCACAAAAACTCCTGAGGTGAATCGCAATGAAAGAATGACTCAAAATGTTATTTATTTGTTTAAACACGCTATATGGCCACCTATCTTGTAGCAATGACTCTAGGTGGTATATGGAGTTAAAAACAATTTCAACAAGGGAAACAATCCAAGCCTTAATGTCTGCAAGCACAACAACAATTCCAGCGCATAAGAAAACAATATTACCGGTAACCTGCAGAACCTGCTTCACCTTCCAATCCAAATGCCTGAGGGAGCAACCAGGTCTTTAATATGTTATGGAAAAACAAACAGGGTCAGGGCCATCCAGATCTCTGCAGGGATGCATTGCCACAGAGAAAGCATAACACCTGAGTGTCCCAAAGGTGCTTTTTTCACAAGACAACTGGACTTTCTTGTTTTTCATTGAAGACGTTTTGCTTCTCACCCAAGAAGCTTCTTCAGCTGAGAGCTGTAGTTCCACAAATGTCATGTCAGTCAGCATTTGTTGTTGTTAGTTGCGAAGTCATATCCGACCCATCGCGACTTCATGGACAACGTTCCTCCAGGTCTTCCTGTCCTCTACCATCTTCTGGAGTCCATTTAAGCTCACGCCTACTGCTTCAGTGACTCCATCCAACCACCTCATTCTCTGTCATCCCCTTCTTCTATTGCCCTCAATCTTAATTTAAAATACTGGAAAAGAAATTATTTTGAAAGTGCTGCTTAATTGAATGGTGTTGCCACTCGCACCTCCATGAGAAGAATGTTCCATGATCAAACTGCTATTCTCATATGTGCTCCAGTAGATGACAGTACCTAGCCAACATTTGTTGATCTCAAAGAACTAAACAAGCTCAAACCTAGTTAGCATTTGGATGGGGAGACAACCAGGACAATTTAATTTGCATAAAGTTTAAGAAATAACAGGGAAGAAAGTAATGGCAAGCCACATCCATATTGTAGCCAGAAGGCAAGGCTGGCTTCAGAAGTCTTTACTTTTTTTTTAATGTATAGTGTACCATGTCATTTGGAGAGGAGCCTCTTTTAATTGTCTTGGGAATAAATATCCCTGCAGCTATTTAAAGAAAAACACTCCCTGTATCAACATTAAGAATAAGGATATCACATTTGGAATATTTATTTCTCCACCCCCAGATATTTTTTAATTTAAGATGTCTGCGAGTTCTTTGGCAAAGTATAGGTCAGGAGTTATTTTGCTACAGTTCATGCAACCTACCATACATTCCTTTCTGGTGATATATTTCTCTGGTAGGAAAGGCCTTTACAGCATAAACAGAGCTTTGTTCTAAGTTTCAGGAAAGGCAGCTGAAATGTTACTTTTGAAAAATTAGGTCAGATCCTGCAAATGTTGTTGGGGAAAGTATGAGCAAAAGTTATGGTTATACAAAGTATCTGTAGGATGGAAATCTCAGGTATTTTTTTCTGAGAAATTTTAAAGGAGAGGTGAATTATCCCCCTGGCAGGAAACAAATCGAACTCAGCTGAAAGGCAGTAGGAAGGGCTGGAGAAAAAGCTAACAAGGGTTCTCTAAAGTCAAAAGTGAATTTTTGTTTCAAGATAACAGGCAGATTTCTCCTATCACATCTGAGAGTAAAGTGCTTATATCACGGGTGTCAAACTCGTTGCGTCACATGACATGTCGCAACATATCGTGACTTTTTTCGCATTGTTGGAGCTGGGGTGGGCACGGCCTCCACATGATGCAACCAGCCCACAGACGGCAATTTGACACCCCTGATTGCCCCATGGATGCTTCAGAATTACATTACAGTTAGTCCTTGACTTAGGACTATGATTGAATCTGGCAGTTGTTTAGTGAGTCACCATGTGACTGTGCTTAACAACCATTCACTTAACCATGTGACTGTGCTTAACAACCATTCACTTAACAACCATTGCAAAAAAGCTAGTACCATCGTACTAGCTTTTTTGCAATGGTTGTTAAGTGAATATGGTGACCATTAAGCAAATTAATTGTATCCAATGGGCATTTTTTGCCAGAAATCAGAAGTTTACCAAATGTTTCTGGCAAAAAAAACTCCCATAAATTATGGTTATGTGACTGTGGGACACTGCAAACAGCCAATTGTGAAGTCCAAAATGTGATCATGTGACTGCGGATGGCGGCACTGTTAGAATTTCAAAACTGGGTCATAAGTAGCTCTGGGGAGATCCATTCTAATGTTTACTAAAGTGACCTGTCATAAGTCAAGGACTACCTATACATCTTCTCAGTATTTTACACAACATACCTTGATATAACTTTGGAGGAAAAGAAGTGTCCTAGTTTTATTGTCACCTTGCAGCGAGATGGGCAGCAAACAAATTTAAGGAAACGTAATTGTTAATTTTGTTATGAAAATCTTTGTGGCTTATTACTAGAACAAAAATATAAATTAGGGATGAGATTATATCTTTTGTCAAATTAAAAGAAAGAGCAAGGAGAAAGAAACACTATGATAAATCATTTTAACAGTAAGCAGTAACAAATCATGAAGGTATAATAAGGATAATGCTTCTTTAAAACACATGCTTTTATAATGCCCTTATACTTACTATGTTTTGGGAGAAAATAGTGGTTTATATAAATATGATTGCGTGCCAAAAGCTAAACATTTCCCAGAAAAATATTCTTTTAAATATGCATGGAATTTGGCAATTAGAATTTTCCATGCTCTTATTATGGCCAGAAGACTGATTCTTCAGCATTGGAAAGTTAAATGGGTGGCTCTTTTCATGTAATGGATTGAAGAAATAACTGCACTTGCAACTTATGAGCAGATTGCCTATAGACGTAGACTTTGTATAGACAAGTATAATGAAATATGGGACTAATTTATACAAACACAGTAGATTAAAATATGATATTATATAAGAGTATTATAATACATACTTGTAATATTTGTATTAGATATGTATATACAGAATTGTAAATGTTTACTGTTTAAAAGGGATGAGATGATATCTAGATAGGTAGCAAAGGATAGCAATTGTTCTATGTGTGGGGGTGGATGCACATGTGCAGGCTTTTAATTTCTTGAGTTTTCTCAGGCTAGATATGCCTGCCCAGTTAATTGATGAAATGATTAGCGTTATGATGATTGGCCACCAAAAAATCCCAGGGATGAGATTTGACTGAGAAGAACTAAAGAAGATTTTCAGAAAAAGACTGTGGCAATCTGCTCGTCTATTGTTGCCAAGAAAATTATAGGAAATATAAACTATGTAGCTTTCAGGAAGTGACCTTGATCCAAGAAAGTTTTCCTCTATCCATTTTAAGAGAATTAGCCCTAGGCTTTAACCAAAGCATCATCCTATTTCTACAGCATCATAAAATCATAGCATCATATAACGTAAGGCAGGGCTTTTCAACCTTTTCACCCATTGTACCACTTTTAGGATATCGCAACATCCGAGTATCACCAGTCACCTAGGAAGGTGTCAAAAACTTGATGACCAAAAAAAAAAGGAAAAAAGTGATAAAAGTACAGGTAGTCCTCAACTTACAATAGTTCGCTTAGTGACTGTTCGAAGTTACAATGGCACTGAAAAAAGTGGCCCCAAGCCACAGCCGAGCAAGACACCTGCCTGCCCGCCCATCGGTGCTCTTCCTCCCGTCCGAGGTTTTCATTGTTGTGAGCATTTCTGTTGAGGATTGGCAGCGGAGGTGGGGTGGGGGTGTTTGGTTTTTATTCCTCCTGTCTGCTGGGTGGTTGCAGCAGATTTTGGTCACTTCACATGACCCTGGGACATTGTGACCGTCATAAATATGAATCAGTTGCCAAGCATCTGAATGTAAATCACAAGACCCTGGAGATGCTGCAACATTCCAGCTGATTGGTGCTTCTTCAGGGCTCAGCAGAAGCGCCAGGATCAGCGCCGAGCTCTAGCTGGAGCCTGGCACTGATCCTGGCGCTTCCGCTGAGCCCTGACAGCCCTGAAGCTCCAGCCGTCTCTCACTCAGGCTTGTGCGGTGCTGCCACCGGTTCAGCTTATTCCCCTCCCCCGCTACTTTTCTAGGATGGTGGCATACCACCTGCCAGGTGCCAATGTACTCCAGGTGGTACCCGTACCACTGGTTGAAAAGCCCTGAGTCGTAAGGGTTGGAAGAGACTTTAAGTTTCTCATGAGGACGAGGCTGGAGATAAAGGGGCCAGTTGTAGAAAAAAAAGAGGATGTGGTTTGATTGAATCATGGAAGAATCAGGAGAGGCAAAAAAAAATTTTTTTAATCCAATATGTAACTAAACTCGAGAACATATTACTGTGAGATATGATGCTAGCTACTGCTTGCTAGCTTCAAAAAAGGATTAGACGAATTCATGGAAGTCACAGGATTCAGTGGCTCTTGATGGCAGTGTGACAGTCTCTAAAGAGACATTTATGAGATTCCTTGTGCAGTTTGTTGGCCCTTAAGAGAAGATACTGTTGGACTAAGGAGATCAAGGGTCTGGTGCATCAGGGGATTGCTTATGTTTTTACAATCCTGAGTTGATAGAACAATTTGTGGAATAGAGGAGAAAAGAACTGAGCAGACATACGCTTAATTATCCCTCTGGAAGATTGAAGCTTCCCAGTAAAGCAGTAAAAGCTTTATCTGTCTGGTGATTTGGGCAGTAATTTGTGGGGAAGTCATTTACAGACAAACATAACAACATTAATGAAATTTTGATGTCTGTTTTTCCTCTTCCTATTTTAGGAGCAACCTGCCAAAATGTCTAGCAAGAAAGAAAATGCACACAAGAAATGGAGTGTCTTGAAAGAAAGGCTGGGTTCCCAGGATTCGGATCAAACAGAAGCCAATCTGGAAAATGCGGAGCCAGAGCTCTGCATTCGTCTCTTGCAGATCCCTTCGGTGGTGAATTACTCGGGGCTCAAGAAACGGCTGGAAAGTAGTGATGATGGTTGGATGGTCCAGTTTTTGGAACTCTGTGGACTGGATCTTCTGTTAGAAGCCCTAGACAGACTGTCGGGGAGAGGAGTTTCTAGGATCTCAGATGCCCTCCTGCAGCTGACATGCATCAACTGTGTGCGGGCAGTAATGAACTCTCAGAAGGGCATTGAATATATTGTGAGCAATGAAGGTTATGTCAGGAAACTCTCTCAAGGTGAGGACACATTCTCTCTCTCTCCCTCCCTCCCTCCCTCCCTCCTTCCCTCTCTTTCTCTCTCTCTCCCTCCCCCCTTTGGATTATTTATTATTTGATTTTTTTATGATTTCATGGTTGGGGATCATTATTACAGGATTTTAGAGCTGTTCAGGAATCCCTAGGAAGCACAGAAGTTAGTGGGGACAACTGAATAAACTAGCAATCATGACATTGAAAAAGCTGTAGGCTTTGTCATCCCTTGCAGGGAAATCATCATGAGTGATGTGACTTGAAATAGAGGCAGTAGAAGTGAAAGCAGGACAGGAAATGTCATGACGGTGTAGTTTTCTGCTGACTCAAGAATTGATGGATAATAGCTCTTCAGCTCAGCAGTGGGGAAAGGCCTTGAGTATGAAATGGCTGAAGGGTAAATAAGAATGTCCTGTCCTGCCTTGTATTGTGCAATCATCTCTCCAGTGTTCTGCAGCCTTTCCCTCCTGCCACTCTTCAATTACACGCCAAGGGAAAATAACATGTGTACCTATTTCAGAAAAGGAGGAAATAATTCATTAAAAAAAATTAACTCTCCCCTGGCCTTCTTCAGATCAATAGAACTCGATTGTTAGGTACACTACAAAGGGTTGAATATAAAGAGATGTCTCACAAAAAATGCCTTGTACATTATCTTACATAGCTGAGGAAGAAGAAAAAAGATATGTAGGAAATTGGAGTACAGGATTTTGGTATAGTATAGGGTATTGAATTAGCTTGTAAACTGGAGAGCTGCAATCCTATCTAAGGGGAAGGATGCCAAATGGAATGAATTGAATTTGTATTGGGACAGGGGACAAAAAATTAAGACCCCGTTCATTCCCATATTAGAGTCTCAATCTAGATTGGGTCCCCTGAATTTAGAATTGAATAGGAAAAATCATTTTCAAACTACAGCATCTATAAAATACACAGTATAACTCTAATATATAATTGTCCTTTTTTGTCTTTCTAAGCACTGGATACTTCAAATATCATGGTCAAAAAGCAAGTGTTTGAACTCCTGGCTGCTCTCTGCATTTATTCATTTGATGGACATGCACTGGCTTTGGATGCTCTAGACCATTACAAGGCAAGTAGAAAATCTGATATATCTGATATATAATGAATATATAATGAATATATAATGAATACCATAATCTGCATCAATCAGTATAGCTCTTCAGAATCAAACCAATCAGTCCATCTCATTGGTCCTCATTCAGAAAGTCACAAAGTCATTAAGTCTCTTCTGAACCTGCAGAGCGAGATTAGGTACCGGTAATCTGGTATTTAAGACAAAATGAATCTTTCCTTGGCATGCTTCGGATTAGCTGCACACTTTTTTTTTGAGATTATTAAAATTTAAATTAATTAAAAACTGACAAGCTGCAAAGCAAAATGTCATTGTCCAATATCATTCAGATGCCCCTAAAATGACAACAAACTTCCTCTGGACCTCATAGGTATTCTTAGAAAAGAAAAATTGTGCCTATCTACAGACTAGAGTTTTGTACCCATCTTACCTTAAAAAAACACACACACACAATGAGATGGGAGGGACATTCCTTAAAATGCTAAATATGCCGAGTGGTTCAAAAAGATTGCTGGCCTCATTTTTAGAACACACATACACACAAACTCTTACCCTCTGATAAGGAATTCAACTATATTTTCCCATATCTGTCCTTTCTGTTGCCTCTATTGACTATACCAATGGCTCCTATTAACACATTATATAGTAAGGAATTCCATTGGTGGATAATAAATTGTGTCAAAAAATCTTCTGTTTTTAATCTATTATTAAATGCCAGTCCATTTCAATGGCCCTCTTTCTCATAACTAAAATCATTGTCACCACAGAGATGGAGAAGCTATGGTTCCTTAATATTGCTTAACTACAACTCTTAGCCATCCAGCCTATGTGATCTCTGGTGAATGCTGGGAATTAAAGTTGAATCACATCTAAAAAACTACAGGTTCCTCACATCTGAAAAAGGGAAAGTGAATTATACTTAAGACAAATAAAAGTGTTGTGATGGAAGCATTTTTTTTTCATCTTGCCACTTCCCATGAATTGAGGAACTTATTTCAGAGAACAACCATAATTCAACTTGTGAAACTTTGCAAGTTGGATTTCTAGCATAACAAGATTTCTGAATTTTCTACTTAAAACTCTAAAGATCATTACTAAACTGAGGTGAAAATAGTAGGCTGAACAAACCTGGTTTTGAAATACAGCATTCAGTCCAGCACATTTTTGATTTGCCTCCTTTGCCACAGACTGTGAAAAACCAACAGTACCGGTTCAGCATCATTATGAATGAGCTCTCGGTCACAGACAATGTGCCCTACATGATAACACTCTTGAGTGCCATCAATGCAGTTATATTGGGAACAGAGGAACTGAGAGGGAGGATGCAGCTCCGGAATGAGTTCATTGGTAAGAATAGTTTTCAGTTCAGATGTTCCATATGAAATTACCTTTGTCAGAAAATTCCCTGCCCTATCAGCAAGGCTCTAGTGCAGCAGCTCCCAACCTCTTCTATACCCCACATGCCTAGAACACCTCTGATATATTCTCGCACCCTTACAAAAGTTCGAAATAATGGCAATAAATTATCCATATACACTGTAATTTTGAAAAAACAAGTTTTCGCACCCCCTAGAATATCATCTTGCAACCACGGGGGGTGCGAGCATTCCCGGTTGGAACCCCTGCTCTGGTGGAACCATCTAAGCATTATGACCTGACAGACTTACCTACTCTGAATTTATCTAAATCAAGAACATAAAACAAAACCAAAAGTTGGTTTCCAGGAAAACAGATCCTTCTTGCTAAACTATATTTAATCTTTTTAGTTAGCAATTCCATTTTGTGTATCATTTAGCAATTTTTAAATTTACATCTGTTTCACAAAAAGATCTCCCTATCTAAATTGGTACTCATTTAGCCATTTTCTGTGTGGCATATTTGTTAGTGTTATTGATGCTAAAGTAGTTTGTTTTTATTAGACCATATATTGACGGAGTGTTTTTTTCCTCTTCTCTTTTTCCAGGTCTTCAGTTGTTGGATATTTTAAGCAAACTGCGGTGAGTGATTTATTATGTAATATGTAACTATATTATATTTGAAATAGGATAATTGTTTCACAATTTTGTACTGTAATACAGCACATGATTAAGGGAGAGGCATTTCCTTATCAGAATAATTATTTGAGTCTACTGTTGTATCTCTAGTGTCTAGTTCCTTCTTGCAGAGTGTAGAAGGAAACAGATATGAACTGAAATACAGTTGACCACAATAGTATTTCCTTTAAAATAGCAAGGTTTCATTGATTGTCTGTTTTGGTTCAGCAAGATTTCTATCCATCAGATTGAGTAATAATTGCTGTTTCGTTTATCTTCATCATCATCTTTCTTTATCCTTCATTAAATAAAAAAAATATAGATATACTTTTTCAAATTATTTTCTATCAACTTGAGATCTGTAAAACTTGCTTAAAATTTAACATGCCTTAGCAATCTCCCCAGAAACTACTATTTTGCAGTGGTCATCTCTATTCCCATTGAAGCTAAGATGGCCTAGGCTAGCTGATCTAGGTTACAGTGTGATGGTTGTCACATCTGGTTGGTGTGTCTGTGTATGTTACTTGTAAAATTATGTGTTACCTGTAAAAAGTTCTTCTTTGAGGGAGAAGGACAGTTCAAGAATATAGTAAGTATGTATGTATGTATGTATGTATGTATGTATGTATGTATGTATGTATGTAAGTAAGTAAGTAAGTAAATAAATAAATAAATAAATAAATAAATAAATAAATAAATAATCAATCAATCTTGCCATTATGATAACAAGCAAACTATCATTCTTTCTTTCTTCTGTATAAGTTTGGTTTTAGGATAAATTTTTATTCCCACATTTCTTTCGCTTGAAATTTCATCAACTTAAGAGTTTTCATCGGTCAGATACAGAGATGGGATATTCGCATCGACTACAGAATTATTAACTATTATGATTTTAAAATTTAAAAAGTTATCTTGATTAATGAATTGCTAATATTTATTGTTGTGGGCTTTATATAGAGACATAGAAGATGAGGACCTGCTTATCCAGTGTGAGACATTTGAGGAGGCTAAGACTGAAGATGATGAAGAGTTACTGAGAATATGTGATGGCATTGATATGAATAATCATCAAGATGTTTTCTCATCTCTGTTCAACAAAGTAATATTTTCTTTTTAATGCAACATATAATTCATCTTTGTTTCTGCTTCCCTTCATCATCCCATAGAATTCAGCATTCCTAAATACTGATTTAAAACTATATTAATATTATATATCAAAAGTTAAGAGAATAAAACTTTAATAAGCCACACAACCAGTTAAAGGCACAGTGTACAATTGGCTTCTTATACTCGCTCTGGGGACACCCAGTTCCAAATCTTCTTCAGAAATTGACTGAATGTTTCAGGGCCAATTAGTATGATGGAGAGTGTCTTGAGCTCAGGAGGAAAGGGGATGATCCTAGAGTCATCCTGACTTTTTAAACAGCTCTCATCCTACCCCTTTGTCACCCAGCTTTGGTGTTTTCCTTTCGAGAAACAATCATCTAAAATCTGGGGCAAGTCTTATTAAAATTGGCCTTGCTTTAATATAATCCATTGAATTCTCCGTGTAAATCTTCTGCTTAAATATGAAACATAACACTTTCACAGTTGCAGAACATCATTTCACTAGTTTGTAGAAGCAAAGTGGCATTTTCCCCCATGTGAGCTTTATATACTATTTGTAATTGTTATCTGTTCTAGAACAAGGATATGCACTGCATTTGCATACATACCCATTGAATTTACATCTTGAGATTCTTTCCACAAATTGGAAATATATACACACACACAAACAAACACACACACACAAATATATAGAGGGGGGGGAAAGGGAGAGAGAGAGAGAATGTAATGTTAAAGAAGTCCCTAAAGATTTTACTCCACTAGTTGTTGCCAACTTTAGGGGGCAGTGCTCATCTCTATTTCAAGGCCATTGAGACAATGCTATCTGAAAACATTTCCATGGCCATGTAGCCAGCATGACGTCATGGAGCACTGTTACCTTCCTACCATAGTGGTACCTATTTATCTACTCTCATTTGCCTGCTTTCAAACTGCTAGGTTGGCAGGAGCTGGAACAAGGACAGGGGCTCCCCCTGTTGTGTGGTGTTTGGGTCTCGAATCTGGGCTACTAGCTTTCCAGCCTGCAAGGCTAGCGTCTTAACCACTGAGCCATTACGCCATCCCATATATGCATATATATCTAGATATATTGATATGGTTATATAGCATTAGTTAATTATATATGGAATAGTAACTCTTTGCTGTTGTAACAACCATTGAATCTAATTTCAATAAAGACTCATCTTATGGCTCTGGATTTTTGGTAGCACGGATTGTAATACTAGAGTAGCATCACTACAGTGGCATCAGTATTGTAATATATACAGAGATAATAGTTCAAAGTTTCACTTTCTGTTTTAGGTGAGCAGCTCCCCAGTCTCCGTTCAATTGCTGTCCATTCTCCAGAGCCTCCTGCATCTCGAACCGTCTCATCGCTCCAGCCTATTGCTCTGGGAATCCTTAGAAATGTTAGTAAGCAGAGCCATCTTGCTGGCTAATGACAGTAAGTTTTAAGGCACTGTGATGCAACACATGTTCCGCAAAAAACAAAACAAGCCAAAATACAAGCTTCATGTTTAGTTTAAGAAATCTGGCTCTGGAATTGTGACCCACCAGGTTTATAACAGACTTCTGCCCCATTTACATCATCTTCCTAGATCAACAGAATAAAGGAAAAAGTACTTTGGTACTCCAGGACAGGTGGCAATAGAAAATTGTGGATGAGAGATTGTGTTGCTCAGAAAGAATATAAGTAAACATTTTCTATCTAATTTCCTGTTTCCTGTTTCCTTCTAAAGAGAGTTTGCTGCCAGAGAATTCTTTATCCAGAACAAAGGGAGTTATCACTGGAAACAATGCTGGATTATGTATGAGCCAATAAACTGAGGTTCAGTCCATGCAAGATAGAAGTTCCATCAGCTGTTTTAGGAAGTGGATTTGGTTTGCAGCTTAGGATATTTCCAGGTCAGGACACAGTTGTGTTCACAGGTGGTACTGCACTAATTTGGCTGATATATCTTCTGGTTGCTATCTTATAGAAAAGGGGTGTCAAACTTGCAACGTCATGTGATGTGTCGTGACGTATCGTGAGTTTTTTCCGTTGCCAGCAATGGGGTGGGCACGGTTTCGGCATGACGCATCTGGCCCGCGGACTGGCAGTTTGACACCCCTATTATAGAAGATGATCTTACCACAATGACCTTGCTTTAGTTAGGTCTGAAAGATTTCTAGTTCATGGAGAATGCACTCATGCAAGGCATGAGGCCTTTATTAATAGGCTTTCTTCAACTCATACTATGATCCCATTATCAATAATCCTTATGCAAAAGGTAATTTGCTGCCGAAAAAGACAGATGTTTAGATCTCTTATGCCTTCAGGTTATTACTGTACCCAGAGTATACAACTACCTGATCATTGCAATACATGCTTGAATACAGAGGGAACCTCAGTTGAGCCCATTTCATTTATTAGTCTCAATTGTCACTGTAAAGTTTTGATTCTTAAGGTGCAGAGCTTGTGTATGGTTTCTCTGGTTCATAAATCCCTGTATGGGCTCAAAATCACCCTTCCCTCTACTCAATCATTAATGTAAGACTCTCTTCAGACAACAGTAAATGCCTCTACATTGATATGGTCAAATGGCAAAACACAAGCAAGGAACATGTTTACATATATTCACTTAAGTAATTTCTTAGGTGATCTTGTAAAATTGCATAGTGAGCATTAGAAATAAAAATAAGAATATACAAAAATAAGAACAGAGTAGCTTTCCAACTGTTAGATCAGCACGAGCAACAGAGAAAATACTACATCTTTCAGTATTTTACAAATAATGTAAAGGAAAAGTCTGTGAAAGCCTTTCCTATTCTCAACTCTCCTAATAAAAAGCTTTTTCAAGAAATCAAAATAAACATTTAAATTTAAATATAGCAATTTTACTTTTAATAAAAATATAATAATATGAAATACATATGTAATATACTTGTCTTCAGTTATGGCAGTCACAGTTACAGGGTTACCAATCATTGTTGCATTCTAGTATGAAGTACAGAAATAGCAGAAAGGGATATGAACTTCAAACAGAAGATAAAAAGTTCAGACATCAATACACTTCAAGCAGGAGCACTTGAAGAAAATGGTGGAGACAGAGTGCTGATTTTTTTTTATGCATAGCTCTCCAACTGACATTATCTCTTAAAGTAGATCCGCTTGGCTCCACAGTTGCCTGGTTTGGGAAGGAAGGCTATAAGACACCCCCCCCCCATGTCTAGCATAGCAGCCCCAAACCTTTTGGGCATAAGGGACTGGTTCAGTGGGAAAAGGGTTTTCCGTGAATCGGAGGGAACGTGGTTTTGCATGCTGCCTGCATCCCACGGATGGGGCTTTGCTTGTTTGTGCGAACCGGTTGCTGGCATGCCGTGAACCAGTGCCAGTCCACACACCGAGGCTTGGGGATGCTTGGGTCTATGTACACTATCTAGCTTGAACCAAACGAATTGCTTATTTCTATGGTTTAAACCATTTTTCCCTGATTTTCATCTGTATGAATCTGTTTGAAAACATTGTTCATTTTCAAAAGATACCATCTTAAAAACGTTCATTGTGACATTTATTTGAAAAGAGAATAGGATTTTAGTTTGTTTTACTCTATTCTATCTAATATTTTGCAGTAGAAGATAATAGTGTGGAAGAAGTCATGGAGAGATTGTTGTCTGTCAAGAAGCAACCCAAGAAAAGAGATTTAGGTTCCAGAAAAGCAGCTAACAAGGTGAACGAAAGCACTCAGACCAATGAAGATCTGGGACAATGCCCAAACACCACCCAGAGCTCTCCTCCAAGAACTTGCTCTTCCAACATTCCAGTTAATATAGAGCCACACGATGTGTCTAAGGTTGCATCCTCCTGCTTTTCGGTCAGCTCAGCTTCACCAGAATGGAATCTATCTTCAGCTGCTGCTCCTCTTCCCCTCCCAGGAACATCAGGCATGTTGCCACAACAGCCATCTCCTCAACCTGTGATACAAATGCCACCATCAGTTCCCACATTGCTTGATGTAGCAACAATCTCACCCTTTCCTCCTCTGCCTGGGATGACAGGCATTCCTTCCCCTTCCCTGCTGCCCAGCATGACAGGAATCCCTCCCCCTCCCCCTCTGCCCATTATGATAGGAGCCCATTCCCTACCTCAAAATTCAGCTGTGCCACCACCACCTCCCCCGCTGCCCAGTATGATAGGGATCCCTCCTCCTCCCCCGCTGCCCAGTATAACAGGGATCCCTCCTCCTCCCCCACTGCCCAGTATGATAGGGACCCATTCCCTGCCCCTAAACTCAGCCATGCCACCACCACCTCCCCCACTGCCAGGCGTGGTAGGGATCCCTCCCCCTCCTCCACTGCCAGGCTTCGTAGGGATTTCTCCCCCTCCTCCACTGCCAGGCCTGGTAGGGATCCCTCCCCCTCCCCCTCTTCCTGGTACTACAGGAATGCCACCTCCACCCCCACCACTCCCAGGCATGCCACCTCCTCCTCCCCCACTGCCTGAGATGGAAGGGCTACCACCCCCTCCTCCACTGCCAGGCATCCCACCTCCTCCACCTCTAGGAGGCAATGTAGAGGTAATTGTCCCTGCATGGGCCAACACCCTGAGCTATGCCGCACCACCCCCTAAAAGAATGAAGATGCCAACACTAAGGATGAAGAAGCTGAATTGGCAGAAGCTGCCCTCCAATGTCGTGAGAGGTAAGCACTTCTGAAGTCTTCAAGTCAGACCATTCCAGTGAGGCTTTAAAGAAAACCTCTTGGTTTTTTCCAGTAGATTCTTTTCCTTCACAGCTGAGTCTGTCCCTGTGCTAGGATTCCCTTTGGCCATCCTGTTCTCTGTGCTGCGACTGAAGTAATGGAAGCAGGAAAGGGGCCTTTTTCTTAGCAGTACCAATAATGTAAGCTAAGCTTTTACATTCATGTAAACCCTCTCATGCATACTTTTTTGAATGAGATGAAAGCAGAATTTGAATATTTTAATGTAAATTGTAACTTGACATATTTTAACATTATTTTTGAAAGAAAGAAAATGTATCAGTACAGTCCATGATATAAACTTATAAGTTTTTGATGAATAGTTCTCTTTAAGCTGCAGCACTGCCATTTTTAAAATGTACCCCTTTGCATGTCATCTGCAAGTAAAAAAGCAGGGAAGAAATTTCCCGTTTTTGGAAAAGCATTATCATTCAGTATATTATCAAGAGTACAGAGTGTGTTAGCAATGAATGGACTTTCTCGCCAATCACATAATTTCAGAGTTGCTCAGGCATTCAGGGAAGTTACATTTCAATTCCTGCCATTCCCAAAGTGGGGGAAAAATGGACATAGGGCTCAGCTAGAAACCATGGAGGGCTGAGCCAATCATTGCACTGGATTTTTTATTATTGCAGTCCTAGTAATCATCCTATAAACTAAGGATATTGGAGTTGAAGACAGCAGATGGGGAAAGGTCAAGAGTAAGGTTACTACAAGTATTCTTCTACTTTTCTATCAAAAGTCTATGTCAACTAAATAATTAGCAATTTTAATTATTGGATATGTTTCTGTACATATTTTGCTTTGCATTTTCCTCCTACGTGTGTGTGTGTGTGTGTGTGTGTGTGTGTGTGTGTGTGTGTGTGTGTGTGTGTGTACAGGTAGTCCTTGACTTACAACAGTTTGTTTGGTGACTGAAGTTACAGCAGCACTGGAAAAAGTGACTTATGACCATTTTTCACACTTATGAATGTTGCAGCATCCTCTTGGTCATGTGATCAAAATTCAGACACTTGGCAACTGACTCATATTTCTGATAGTTGCAGCATCCTAGGATCAAGTGAACACCTTTTGTGATCTTCTGACAAGTAAAGTCAATGGGGAAGCGAGATTTACTTAAAAACCGTATTACTAACTTAACAACTACAATGATTCACTTAACAACTGTGGCAAGAAAGATTGTAAAATGGGGCAAAATTCATTTAACAACTTCCTTGCTTAACAACAGAAACTCTGGGCTCAATTATGGTCATAAGTTAAGGACTACCTGCATATGTATATCCTGCCATTCGTTCAGAAACTGAAGACAATTTATTTGTCCCACATTACAAATGCTGAATTGGTCCTATCCTTTCAAAGGCATAGATATGGACTGTGAAGCTATGAGATGTAACCCACCATCCTGCCCTTGTGTCTTTCAGAGAGTCACTCCATGTGGGCATCAGTAACAAGAACGAGTGAGGAATCTATTGAGCCGGATTACTCTAGAATAGAACAGTTGTTTTGCTTTCCACAAAACAAGCCCAAATCAAAGGAAGTTGCACCAGTGAAGACAGAACCAAAAGAGGTATACTGGTAATCTGCTTGAACTAACTCTATTCATTTGGATGTCTGTTTGAACCATCCAAGAGTTCCCATATATCAGGTGTTTGTTACCCAAGTAAGCAAGTTTTTGAGGTTAGAAGAAATATGTTTTTTTCATGTTAGTTTTAGGGTTGCACATGCTTTAAAAATTATTTGCCAGGAATGCTTCAGCTGTTATGTGAGTTTGGGAAAACAGCTCGCTACTCTTGATTAAAGCTTATACTGTGTACATGCAAACATGTAAAATGATGTGGCCACTCTAAGAGTAATAATAATTCTTTTTTTCAAGAATTATTCCCAATACAGCAATTTTAATTAGTTCATTATTTAGGGCAAATGCATATAATCCATTACTAATACTCCCAAAACAGGGTTCTTAACAGAATTCAGAGTCCATTTACAGTGCCCCTAAGTTTTCTTATTTTACACATTTCTATAAAAATAAGGCTAAAAATAACTGGCAAGTAGTTTTAATTTATACTTTGTAATGAATTTATAAAACTGACCAAAAATGTTTCCATTTTCCAAAACAGATTACATTTCTAGATTCCAAAAAGAGTCTTAATTTGAACATATTTTTGAAGCAATTTAAGTGGTAAGTGGTATTTTTATATTGATAAAATAATGCTATGATCATGAGAAATAATATTAGTAATAATTAACACTGCCATCCTGTGGTTATTTTATGTACTTTTTATAGGTTTACATATCTATTCTCTTAAACTGGATTGAAACATACAGTAATTACAACAGATTAGAACTTGTATTGTTATCATACATTTAGAATCTGACATGTACACACATATACACATGAAGCTTCTCCAAGTAGCCATCTTGCTTTAATGAAACTTATTTTTGCATTGAAGAAAAGAGGAAAATTCCGTCTATACTCTGGGACCTTTATCAGGAGGTATCTTTGTCTAAAGTCTGATATACGTTTGCCACACATACTGGGGATTGATTCCATTTTGGACAGATGCTACCTATCATCATAACATAGTAGACGCGACCTAAAATTAGACCTGGGTAGCTTTTTGCTTAAGCCTAAAGAACTATGTCCTCATTCATCATTTACCCTACCTAGCATCCACATTCATTGATAGCCAAACTCAGAATATACCTGCCATGACTAATTATTGCTAATTGATTTATCTTTCTTAAGTATACCATTCCTTTGTGAATCTAATTTAGCTAGCAACCAATACTGAATTTTGTTGTAATGAATTCCAGTTGTCAACTGTAGGCATAGAATGAAGAGACTTTTTCTCCTCTGACTTGAACAGGCTTGTTAATCAATTTCACTGAGTGGACACAATATTTTATAGCAATAGCAATAGCACTTAGACTTATATACCATCCCATAGTGCTTCGCAGCACTTTCTGCGCAGTTTACAATGTCAGCATATTGCCCCCAATATGGGTGCTCATTTTGCCAACTTCAGAAGGGTGGAAGGCTGAGTCAACCTTGATCCCATCAGAATCAAACTCCAGACTGTGGGGTTACGGGTAGCATGCAATACTGCATTCTAACCACTGCACCATCAGAGCTCCTTATGAGAAGAAAAGAAGAGAACCCTGCCTTTGCTCTCCGCATAATTACATAACAGTGACTGCATCTAATCCACAATCTCTTTTATCCACAGCACAAATGAGGAGGTGGTTAAAATGATTCAGGAAGGTGACAGAACAAAGTTTGATGTTGAAGTGCTCAAGCAGCTTCTTAAACTCCTACCAGAAAAACATGAAGTAAGACAAACAACAAAAAAGTCTATTGTTTCAATTTTTCTTTGTATTGCATTTGCTGCATTTATACATCATGATTCAATAATCAATATGTGTATATGTAGGCTAGAATATATTGTTTTGGGGTGTGATATTAAATTCTATATATCTCTATGCATATATATAGATAATAGATATAGATATACTGTATATGTATATGTATATCTACTGGAACATGACTTTTCTCTTTTCTTGCTAGATAGAAAATTTGAAAGCTTTCAAAGAAGAAAAGGAAAAATTAGCAAATGCAGATCAGTTCTATCTTCTACTCCTTGGAGTTCCTAGGTAAGAGAAATGTTAATAAGAATATTTCCTTATAGAAACATACATTTAATTAGTTAATTTAAGTATACATATTTCAAACATTTCTAAAGCAGGAAATATCATTTGTTTTAAATGATTCCAGTGCTATCATAGTAGTCACAAAAGAGTTATAGATGGCAGGAAGAGGAAATCTTTTTCAGATGGCAGTTATCTGCACTCTTTATTAGTATAAAGAGTTGTTCTTTAATATCTAAATGAATGGGTTAAAAGGTAACTTGATAAAATAAAAATAGTGGTTTAATGTGTTCAGTTGGCAGTTTAGAATAATATTAATACAAAATATTTTTTACACAAATAAATTATGCCACCTTCATACAGGTAGTCCTTTACCTACACCCATTTATTCCTGACTCTAGGACTGAAAAGACTTCTTCCTGGTCAACAAATGGGAAATAACGCAGAGAAAAGCCTCTGTTAAGGTTCTCCCAGCATGGGCAGATATGGGCGCATTCTCACACAGAGATAGTCAATTCTTCAAATGTTCTCATCCCAAGATATGGACCGTTTATAGTATATTAATATTGATCCCAAAATGAAACAGGAGCCAGAGACGGTGATGAAACTTACCATAATACATTATAATACCCAGGTTCATATAAAGCTTAGTTCCTGCATTTTTGGGGGAAAAAACTTCTTAAAGATCTTCAGATCATTAGCCCTGTGGAGAATATAAAAGTAATCTAGCTATTCCAGTTGATGGACTAACCTAATTTGTAAAATAAAATTTAGAAAAAAAATCTGCCCCTTCACTGACAAATATGATTTAAGGAACTAACCCACAAGTTGTAGGCCTGCCCTTCACTCAGTCCACCACAGCAAATATGCTACCCATCAATAGCAGTTCAAGAACCCTGAGTTTCTTGAATGTCACTGAATTTATTCTGTCCTAAGAACAGGTCAAAATAAATGATAGAGGGCTGGGTAGATGGTCTTCACGTATCCAAGCTATCGAACATAATGATGCAGATAGATCTTGATGATTCTATTTTGATATCATGATTAATAACTGTTTATTTATTTATTTATAAAATGTATTGGCCTTCCGTTTTACCATAAGGTAACTCTAGGTGGCTTACAGTCATAAAAATATATCTACATTAAAACATAAATAAATTAAAACCAAAGATTAAAATCTAAGGACATGTGGGGATGGCAGAAGTGGAATGGGGGGAGGTGGGATCTGTTGTTACTTGATGAACCACCCCCACTGTGCTGTTAATGTTTAAATAATGCTAATTTATTAATAATGGGTTTAATATTCCCAGTTTTCCTATATTGCCTATAGGGAAGCCAAGCATTTAAGCTTGCAAGATACATTCAACTGTTTTTCTACATAATAGTGATTGGTTTGAAAAATGTTCATTCTAGCTCTATTTGGGTGCACAGAATGCAATGTGGTATTTGTATGATTTCTCCATTCTAGCTACCAGTTGAGGATTGAATGTATGCTACTGTGTGAAGAGACTGCTGTTCTGTTGGAGATGTTGCAGCCCAAAGCAGAAACAATAAGGAGAGCTTGTGAAGGTTAGTTTAAGGCCTAAGTATGGTTTGGGTGTTGTGAGTTGTCTGAAGAACGACCAGTTCCTTTTCAATCTAAAAATCACAATTTTCTGAGAAATCAAAATCTAGCACCTTTGCAGAGGGACGGGACTTAAATGGTTTGGTCATTGCTTATGTAAATGCATAGATCTGTGTTTGCTCAGAAGATCCATGTCCACTCCTGCAACATGTAGAAAATATTTGTGTTCTCAATCTCTCCACATTAGTTAGCCAATATTTTCAGAATGGTATGAAGCATTTATCAGTTTGGTATGCAGTGTACTAATCCCATTTGCTTAGCAACAGAAGTCCTACTCAGGCACTCAGCTTTGAAGCAATGAAAACATGCAAGGTGGAAAGCAAAACCTCACTCAGTATGTCCATGCTTTTATCACATTCCATACTTACTGTATATACGTGTCCATCATACCATTCCCCTTTGGGGTAAATAACTGCAGGCAAAAGAAAGAGAAGGAGAACCCTAACCCTAAGAAACAAGAAACAGAAAAGGAAACAGCTAAACCTAATTCCCATGAACAACAATCACTACATAGCCTTTTATCCTTTATTCTATAACGATTATACAGCATATATACATTTTTATCAATTTCATTGAATCATGCTCCACCCTCTCATCATGTTCACTCTTGCTTTGCATGCTCTTCCTGCAAGATTCAGATGGATCTCACTCTACTGTTATTCAAAAAAGCACTGAAGGCCTGGCTTTTCACCCAGGCCTTTGGCTAGGGATAGTGAGACCCCTCACTTCATTCCATCTGGTCTGTCAAATTTCCCATCTTTGATTGAAGTTATTGTAATTTCTTTGCTTGATTGTTGTGAGCTGTCCAAAGTCACTGAGTGTCAGGCAGCATATATGTTTAATAAATTGTTGCTCTTGTTGTGATTTGATCTTCAGTCTCTCTATCTTAATGACCAAACCACCTCAATATATTCTTTCATATTGATCAATCACTTCTATACTGCGTGAGTCAACGTTTATTCAGCATCCATTTACTCTTGACTGCATCTCTTCTTGTTTCATTCTCATTACATTTAGATTATTTTTGTTTCTCCTGACATTGAACCTTTACTTCCATAGTACACAACAAAGAGGTCTTTTTAATATACAACCTTTTAAAAGTTATTTTGATAAGCATTCTCTTCTGAAAATAGACCACAGTGTATGAACAAGCTTTATCTTAGCATTTGTACATTATAAAATATCTCCATTCATTTTCCCACCTTCAGTAAATATTCTGCTATCTGCTCTTTTTCCCCCCACTTAGGTGCAGCTGTAGAACCATCAAATTGAAAGGGATCTCAGATGACATCTAGTCCAAGCCTTGGCTTGGTGCACAATCTGCTATAACATATGTTCTCACACAATGTTTATTTCAGTCACTTACCTCTAATATGATCCTTAACAAACAAATTTCAATTCCACATTAATGCAAAACACACCACATTAAGACTATTTATTTTGCCATGCAAATCAACAAATACAGATTAAAAATTCTTTCTCACATTCATACCATTTTTACTGATCTCCCAAAGAACAAAAATTCAATCTGCATGGTCTTGTCCAGCATAAAACTGCATTGCAGTTCCCAGATTGCGTTCATCATCCCTTCTGCACTCTTTGAGTAGAATTCTTAGACACACTTAATTAACAAACCCCCTGTTGCCAGCTAACACCTTATGCTTGCTTGTGCTTCGTTGCTATATGGTGACAGATTGCCATAGGGAGGGGGGAATGAAGGGGGAAAACTTTGGGAAATGAAAGTAAGTGCTGTATCTCCTCCAGACACTGCCTCAAGGTCACCCAGCTGGAAGAAGGAGGGGGCCGCTTACCAAACTGCGCTTGGATTGACTGTTATGAAAACATCTTGCCTGAACCTGATTGGTTACCCTGGGTTGGGCAGTGAGAGATAGTTAAGGGAGGGAAAAGTAGAACTTAAGGATTTGGGCGCACGATACTCAGGTCTGGCTTTGCAATATTGCAATACACTTGATCATTAATAAACTATACCTTTCTCAACAAATGGAGCCAAGGATCATTTCTATTTAGAGATTTAAGTTGTGGCCATCCCGACACCTGTAGTTTTTGCATTTACTCTTGCTCTGTTTACATTTGCAGAGAGGAACAGTAGCCACATTCTTTTACTCATTAGGCATGGGTGTAGTCTTCATGTACACACACTAAACAAATCACACATCCATAAGAAAAAAGCTTTTATATTTAAAATTTCTCCGGTTACACCATCTATACTTGCAGCCTTATTATTCTTCAACATTGTTCCAACATTTATTATTGGTTAATTAAAAATTGAAAACACCCATTAAACTGATATTTTCACCAGGTCATCTGTGTTCACCTATTTAACAGGTTTTTCTTTCCTCTTAGATCTCATTTCAAGCAATCGCTTGCCCGTTTTCTGTCAACTGATCCTCAATGTTGGAAACTTCCTGAACTATGTAAGTGATCTTGAAAAAAATGCACATTTTAAAAAAGCAATGAGTAAAATGGTGGGGTTCTTCTTGCCTGTTTTGGAAATATTGTTCAAGCCAGCATTGTGAAACTAGCAAATATTGTACTGTTCATTATTTTTGTTGTTCTTTTTCTCTGAAAGGGAAGCCACACAGGAGACGCTGATGGCTTTAAAATTGGTACTTTGCTCAAGTTAACAGAAACTAAAGCAAACCAGACTCGCATTACACTGCTCCACCATATATTAGAGGTAGTTTATGTTGTTTTTCATGGATAAATATAACAATAATAGTAAAATACTAATAGAAAGAAACTGATGCAGCTGTATCAATATACTAGTCAGAAATCATCTATTTAAGATGATGTCTTCTTTTATTTTGCTTCTGTTTGTTTGTTTCCCTAATACTTTTATTGCAAAAATATTTGAGGGAGATGGTATTTAATTAAATAGGTCTTGGCCAAATACATATACACAATATTTTGCTTACACAAAATATTTTTATGACTCTTTTTAGTGTTTTTCTTGCTCATCTAGCTTTATTGATTTGTTTTGCTTTTTTATTAATGCCAAACATTTTGTCAAATTTTTATTTACACTTTTTAATCTGCTTTTCTGGTATTAATTATACTGCTCAATTTAATCCAAGGGAATGTAAGACATCCTTGCAAAATATTAGATACAGAAGAAGGGTTTAAATTATGGCAGTTCTCTGTTTTAGAATGCATCCAGCCTAGAGATGGAAGAGATTATTCTTTTCCCTTTTATCTTCCTAGTAGATATTTATGGTTGCTTTTTGAACTGATTCTTCGATTTTCACAAAGTTTAACAAATGTATTTTGGCATAACACAGTCCAGTTCATCAAAATTAGTGGCAGCATCTCCTTTCTGGAACAATCTGCCCTTGATGTATAACTGGCCCAACCCTTTTGGCCTGGATGAAGGGAATCCTAATTGGTTGAGTTGCAGTATATTTTGGTCTGATCACCATTTTATTGTTCACACAAGATGCTTGGAAGTTTTTGCAACAACGCTTTAGAAATTTGTTTTTAATTCCCATTCATTGATCCAGATTCATCTATGTTTAATAGTTAAGCTGAATGCAGAGAATTCAAGGCAGATCTACCCCATTTAGTTTCATCCAACTGCAGAAACTCAAATGCTTTCAGGATCACCCATGGATGTTCGGGGATACTTAGGTAGAGAGATCACCCCTTTGGTAGATCTCTGTTTAACTAAGACTTTGGCAGGCAGCCAGTATTACTGCAGCCATCGTAAATCATACATGTGTATAATTGGAATTTTTACATTTTCTCTTTTTTCTTTTTTTGGTTTAGGAAGTGGAAAAAAATCACACCGATTTGCTTCAGCTTCCCAAAGATCTTGAATGTATTTCAAAAGCAGCTGGGTAGGGATCACTATATTTTTTTATTATTGGCAATTTTTATAGACATACTTCTTTCTTGCATTATTGTTGAAAAAAAATAACCCAGTAAATAAATCAGGCCATCTTTAATAGGTAAGTAATTTGATGACTCACACTTTAAAAGTATGGTTTTTAATGTTCATCATCAAAAACATGTTTATGGCAAGAGAATAATCTGAGGCTCCATAATAATAGCCTAAACCCTTTGAAGTTGTTTTCTGCACAATTAGGGTTGTACAATCCCATCTCATCCACAGAATTCCCACTTTGCTCCTATGAATCAATAGATGCAGAAACAGCATGTTATGGCTTGTTTCTTTTCAGAATCAATCTAGACGTGATTCATTCTGAATCCAGCTCCAACATAAAGAAATTGCTGGAACTTGAACGGAAGCTGTCATCCTCAACTGAAGAAGTGAAAGCCCAATATGGAAAAGCCATCCAGGTTGGTATAACACAACTCTTCATGCTTCCTTGGAGGATACATCCACTGTTTCCATGAAGTTAGCTACTACTACAATTGTGTCAGAAGCACCTATCAAGGCACTTCTGGGTTGAAAGGATTAGTCAGAAACATCACCATTGCCCAGGGGATGCACAAGGGTACTCCTTTCAGGTCCCTACTCCTTTCAGGTCCCTACTATTTTTTTCCACCAAGTACCTATTTATCTACTAGCATTTGCATGCTTTTGAACTCCTAGGTTGGCAGTTGCTGGGACAAATTGATAGGAGCTTATTCTGTCACGTGGCTCACGCTCTAAGGTTTTGAGCTGCCAAGCTATCAACCTCCAGCGGTCTTCAGACTCATTGTCCTAGCCACATGAGCCACTGCAACCCCTGTGAAGTTAGTTGATCCTTTTTGAATTTTAATTTTAATATCTTCCAGGATAGCTTAACTGCTAACAGAAAGCTGGAGGATGAGTTTGAACTCATTGAAATTAAGAAAACGGAGCTTGCCAATTATCTGTGTGAAGATCCAAACAAATTGTCTTTGGAGGAGATATTTAATACCATGAAAATCTTCCGTGATCTCTACATCAAAGCACTAAAGGTTTGCATTTGAGACATTAAAAAATAAGAATTGTTGTGAAATCTCATACTGATGCATAGCAAAAGTCTTGGGGAATCCTTAGATGGATAGTATCATTTTAGACTATTAGACCAGGGGTCTCTAACCTGAGGGCCGTGGCCCGGTAATGGGCCGTGGCCTCATGGCCACTGGGTCGCAAGACAGGCTGGCCAGTGTGCACACATGTACGCACCCCCCCTCACTTGTGCTAGCTTAGCAGCCAGGCGCAAAAACAGGCCACCACCGCACCTCGGGGCACGAAAACAGGACGATGACAATGTGCCTCGGGGCGCAGAAACAGGTTGCCGTCACTGCATCTCAGGATGCGAAAATGGGACTCCACACCTCAGGGCATGAAAATAGGCCCCTGCCACCGCACCTCAGGGCGCGAAAACGGGATGACGATGATGCACCTCGGGGTGTGAAAATGGGCTGCCGCCGCTGCGCCTCAGGATGTGAAAATGGGCCGCCACTGCACCACGGGGCACAGAAACAAGGCACTGCACCACACAAGAACAGGGCAGGGCTAGTATCATGCAGGCACTAGCCCCGCCCTGTTTGCGGCACACACGTGCTCGCGGCCCCATGCGCACATGCACGCACGCACCCATATAAATTGCTTCACCCTCCCTTTTCCTCCGACAACGGTTGGTGACCTCTGTATTAGATCCCACACAGACACACAAAGAAACTAGAGGGCTGCAAGTACACAGCATTTTGGATTTAATTCCAAAACTGTTCTTGAACCGTGATGGCACGGTGGTTAGAATGCAGTACTTCAGGTTAACTCACTGCTCACTCAGGAGTTCGATTCTGAACTTCTCAAGGTTGACTCAGCCTTCCATCCTTCCAAGGTCAGTAAAATGGGGACCCAGATTATTGGGGGCAATATATTGACTTTGTAAACTGCTTAGAGAGGGCTATAAAGCACTATGAAGTGGTATATAAGTCTAAGTGCTATTTCTGTTGCTATTTACAGCACTTGCAGTTACAGATGTAACACTTGTCAGCATTCTTAATTTTCCTTGTTTGAGGAAAAAAGTCATAAAATCCATAGCAGATTAATTGGAGTTGGCACTACTGTGCATAGTATAAAAAGAAATGTATGTCCCCCTCCCCCTCATTCCATTTATTCTCATGTTCTACTTTTCTTCCTGCATATACACATTGCAGATGTGAACATGAACATAACACAAATAGAAGGAAGGAATTCCTGGAGTCTAAAGCTGTTCTATTTTTACTGAGCTAAACTTCCATCCCTTGCCTCATCGGAAAGTTGACATTAAAATAATACCAGGACTTTAGTTTCAGAATGATTCTTGGGGAATTAATTGCCTAACCAAAATATACACATTCCTTCTTACTGAGTCTGTATTTTTTCCATGCATTTTCCTGCAAGATTTTGAAAATTTCTAAACACTTTGATCTGTCTGTCTTGGTAGTTCAGCTACAATTTGGATCTCATTTCATTGTCCCCTTTTTGTGCCCTGTTGATGAGTTTCTAGTATCTCACCTCTATTAAAAAAATATAAAATATTTTATGTTGCACTATTTCTTTCTCCTTACTTATATCTAGTTTTATGCACTGATTTTTCTTGGTTAAGATTCCTTAATTCGACACCCTGAATCTTGGATTCCAAAAGACAAATAGGATATAATTTGTCAGAATATTGATCTAATTGTGATTTGTAAATCGAAGTCGTATGGCAGACTTTAGCCACAGTTTCCTTGTATGGACATTAGAAACTCTTTACACCTTTACATCCAAGAAGGAAGCACTTAATGCATAGTTCATTCCTGGACTTACAAATAGCAATCTGACCTGGGCCAGTGACTCAATAAAGGGAATTTCTTGTAGCAAAGCTAAAAGAAGACATAACTTCTTTGGACTACAGGTAGTTCTTGTCTTATTAACCATTCATTCATCAACCATTTGCAGATACAATGGTGCTGAACGAAGGGCTTACAACTTGTGCCCAAAGTTATTGTCACTGCAGCACCACCTTGGACGGGTGATCAAATTTCCAGTGCTTGGCAGGCTGCCCACACTGATGACCAAGGGCTTCAACTCCCCCCACCAGCCTATCTTCCATCCATCTACATTCATTTGGCCCTCCTGCCACCCTGTGCTCTGCTACCCCAGGGGATCTTCACCATCTTCCTCCGTCCATTGCTAATGTGATGTACCTGGCCTGGCACCTGGGCCAGGTCGGGCTTGGTTTCAGCTGTGGTCAAAAAAAAAGAAGCCAAAAGCAGCCCCTGACTCATGGCACACCAAAAGGCCCCTTTGCAAAAGTTTCTGGAGTGCAGTGCAAAAAAGGCTTCCTGGCACACCACAGCTCAAGGGCTGCTCTTGACTTTTTTTTCTTTCCTGCAGCCAAAGGCAAGCCTTGATTGGGCCAGCAGCCAGGTTAGGCACACCTAAGCAGGAGCAAGGAGACAACAAGGATCAGTTGAGGTGGCTCAGCACAGGGTGGCAGGGGGCTTGGAGTGCAAGATGGGGAGGGCAACTGCGGCCAGGACTGGACTCAGATGAGATGGCTGGGGCCTCCTGAGGTGTGAAAGCAGCCCCAGAACCTGTGCAGTTTGGGGGCTTTTTCCTTCTCCACAAGGCAGAGCGCAGGGTGGCCAAGAGATGGGGGGGGAGAATAGGCATGTGGGGGGAATTGGAGACAGTATTTTATCTTACTGAGGCTCAGAGCATGGCTGGATACTCACTTAACGACCCATGATTCTTGGTTGATGACGGCAACTGGGACTGCTGGGATTGCCATCACTAAGGGACACAGTCATTTGACATCTTGCTTTATAACAGCATCACTTACTTGCCAAATCATAAGTCAAGAACTACCTTTATAAGCAATTTCCTTGCAATGGAAATTAAGTAGGGCCAATGTGAAGCATTCTAACATGACAGGTGAAAATCAGGCAAAAGTTTGATGCACCTTTTACATGTCTGTGTTCCCCGTACACAGGAAAACAAGGACCGAAAGGAACAAGCAGCCAAAGCTGAAAAAAGGAAGAAACAGTTGGAAGAAGAAGAAGCTAAGAGGCCAAAAGGGGAAGATGGAAAAACTAGTGAGTCATGAAAAGATTTTTCTTTACTTAGTTCCACAAGCCTGTATCTGGCAAGGAGTCCATTGAATTAAACTAAATTTACTTCTTTATGAACCTGCATGGCTAAAACATGAATAATAGTTGTAAGAATTGGGTATGTCAAATTTAATGAAAAGAAGGACTAGGGGTAGCAAGATAGCAATCTTCCAATATCTAAGGGGATGCCACAAAGAAGAGTGGGTCAAGCAAAGCAGCTGAAAGCAGGACATGAAGCAATGGATGGAAACTAATCAAGGAGAGAAGCAACCTAAAGAGAACTAAAGAGGAATTTTCTGACAGTTAGAACAATTAACCAGTGAAACAACTTGCCTCCAAAGTTGTGGGTGCTCCAACACTGGAGGTTTTTAAGAAGAGATTGAACAACCATTTGTCTGAATTATTATAGGGTTTCCTGCCTGAGCAGGGGGTTGGACTAGAAGACCTCCAAAGTCCTTCCAATTCTGTTATTCTGTTATTTCACAGAATCAGTGGGAGAAAGTATTTAATCTCAAGTACTGCTATCAGTTAGCCTAGAGCAGGGGTGTCAAACTCGCAACATCACGTGACGTGTCGCGGCGTATCGCAACTTTTTTGCCATTGCCAGCAATGGGGTGGGGGCAGTTTCGCTATGATGCATCCGGCCTGCGGGCAGCAGTTTGACACCCCTGGCCTAGAGTAAGCCTCAGTGAATTTACTAGAAGGTACTTCTGTCAGTCAGTATGTAGTGGCATTTACAATACTGGAGTGCTTTAGGAAGACCTAAATTCAAAGCCATCCTTAGGCTTTGAGTGAGGTTCAATCTCTTAGTCAGCTGATTTCATAATAGATTTTTTGGAGGAAGGAAAAAAAGTAGGAAGGAATGCTATGCATATCATCTTGAATACTAGGCAAATTATAATGCCAGAACAATGATCAGAATATGTATGTGTACAAATGTATCTGTGTAAAATGGATGGATGGATGGATGATAAATGGATAGATAGACACAGATAGAACTATATATACACAAGATACACACACACACACTTACAAAGAAACTGAAAACAGTTTATTGTTTAATACTATTCTTGTGCAAATACTATCTAAACCTATAATACAATACAGTAATGTGTATAGACTTAATGCAAGGGAAAAATAATCTCTTTATATGATAATTTGCTACAGTGAAGCATAATACAGTGAGTAAGGAAATAAAGTTAAGCATTCCATGTAATTACTCTCAAAATAACCTGAACTATAGTTGCTTGTTCTGTTGTACTCAAGTTTCAGTGAGAGCCACTAGAAGCTATCTAAGTGCGCAGTTCTTCTCCCTCGCTCCCAGTTATCAGGACTTTCACTTTATGGACAGAGATAGTGCTAACATCTGGGATATTTTTGTAATTCTTCCACACAGCCAGAAAATAAAACACTAATTAAAAAGAAAGACCTTGGTTGGATGAGATTGTTTGCATAAATGTGATTACTTGGTGGTACAGTCTAGAAACTGCAAGGATAAGCGCTCATCAAAGGAAAAGCATTTGGATTGTTCTTTTTTCCCCAGGTTCCAAAACACAATTTTTTTGTTAAGTTGATTTGCATGTGCAACTACAGCTCAATGGAATCCTAAATAAAATTCAGTGAAATGTAGGGACTCCAGTCCACCCACACTCTCAGTCTGATTGACCAACTCGCTTTTTTCTCCAAATTACAAATCAAGTTAAGAAAGGAGCTGTGAAGCAAGAGGAGGTGTGTGTTATCGATGCTTTGCTGGCTGACATAAGGAAGGGGTTCCAGCTACGAAAAACAATCAGGAACAAAAACGGCACAGACACTCCCATGAAAACCACACCTCAGAGAGGAAAAGTGACTGGTAAGAACAGGCAGTCAGAAAATCTCATGAGTTTCTTTTTTCCCTATAAAAGTCCAACTTCTTTCCATCTGTTTCCATTGATGGCCAGTTTGCTTCCCAGTCCAGCTCAAGGGGCTGGTTTTAACCTTTAAGACTCTTTATAGTATGGGCTATCTGAGGGACCACCTCTCCCCCATTACATTGTCCTGCCCCATTAGACGATGTGGCAGCGAAGGCAAGTTGCAGGTACCATCAACTAGGAATCTTTATTTGGTGGGTCCCAGAAGACAGGCGTTCTCTGCTGTCATACCTACTTTATGGAACATTCTTCTACCTGAAATTAGAGTAGCTCCACCCCTTTCCATATGCCGAAAATATTCCTATGTCATGAAGCCTGGGTCTCCCGGGCAACTGTAGAATTGCTCGGGGGGCCATTTTACCGTTCTATGTATTTTTTACATTTATAATATTTATTAATATGGATTTTTATATTTTACATTTTTATTTTTTATTTATCTAATTGTTTCTGCCCTGTGCGTGCATGTATTTATTTATATCCCATCTTAATTATTTTTACAAATAACTCAAGGTGGTGCTTAATGCTCCTTTTTCCTCCTTCTATTTTCCCCCAAAACAACAACCCTATGTGGTGAGTTGGGCTGAGTAAGTGACAGGCCCAAAGTCACCTAGCTAACTTTCATGCTTAAGGGAACTAGAACTCTCAGTCTCCTGGTGCCTGGCCCAAAGTCACCCAGTCAGCTTTCATGCTTAAAGGAAAACTAGAACTCACTGTCTCTTAGCTTTTAGACTGGTGCTTTAACCATTACAGTATTTTAATATAATACAGGCCCAAACACCACCTTTTGTTTTAGGGTTCTAGGTAAGCACAATTGATTACATATGCAGGGCTTATATGTGAAGCTAAATGTGACCATGTCTTTTTTATGAGTGTGGGGGGGTCTTTTTAACATTATGCATTGCAGAGGCAGAGAAGTTAGCATGAGAAGACAAGCTCAGAAAAGAAGAATAAAAGTAATCTCTAGCACTGAGATTATAGTAATTCCCACATTATCACTATTTTCTCCCTATTCTTTTTTGTTTGTTTGTTTTTGATGGGCAAGATGGGATGATTCGGTGGCAACCTTTTCTCAGTCTAAGCTACAACTATTTACATTTGATTTCATTCTTATTTTTATTGTTAATTTTCAGACCAAAGCGTTCAGGATGTGAAAGACCCAAAACAAGATGATTCAAGTACGCAAAATAATTTCCAGGACCAAGTAGAAAATGCAAAGCCTTCAGAAGGAGCTACCACAAATGAGAAATCTGAGATGGCTACTGACTCGTTGGATTTACAGAAACCTCCCAATGCCATTGGAAATGGTATCTCCTCTCCAGCCCAGCCAGATCCCAAAAAGGCTTCCTTACATTCCTTTGTTTTGGAGAAAAATAGAGAAGCCCCAAATGGAACAAATTTGCAAGAGGGAAATGACTCCTGTTCTTTTCAGGATACCAGTGACCATGATTTAGTGTTGTCTCAGTCCACTTCTTTCGTAAAGGTTACAAGTGGTAACTCAGGACATTCAACCAGCCTGAAGATTAAAGCTGGTGAGGTTGACTCAGGGGACCCAGCTAGTAGAACTGAACCTGATGGTTCATGGAACCATTTAAATTCAAATGATCAGGTAAACAGTATTTGTAGAAATGATAACACAGAAGAAAAAATACCTGGAAACACCAAGCAGCTCACAACCTCTCAAGAAATGGCCCTTGAAACTTTGGCACTGCCAGAAGCATGTAAAGCCAATGAAGACCTTTCCTCAGACTCCTTATTAGACACGTCTCAGGATAAATCCTTCTCAGAAGAACCCGTAACTGATTCTTCATATTCAGCAACAGTACCTTCAGAACAAGCTCAAGCTGAAAAAGATGGCCAAAGAAGTTCATCAAAGCGCAAGAAGAAAAAGAGGCACAGCAAGGGCCATACAAGTAAGGCATTTTCATTGCGGCCTTTGAACATTAGGGCCAAATCAAGATGACCTCTTTAACCTGTATCCTTCCAGATATTTTCACCTACAATTCCCATCAAATTCAGCTAGCATGCCCAATAGGTAGGACTGATAGCAGACATAATCCAAATTATATGGAAGGATTCAGATTTGGAAAGGTCAATTTCACAGATAGACTGTTTAATTTATTAAATGATCAACTGATTATTTGGGGTGGAGTGCATTATGTTAATGCAAGTATTTACAAAAATGTAGATTACATGGATCGTTTTTATAAAAATGTTCCCTACTATTTTGCACCCCAAGTGGAATGCCTTCTCTGTTATAGCACCTGGTGCACATACATACATAATGATTTTGTTTCAAAGCTATTGTTTTATTCACATGCCATTAATCTAGAGCAGAGAGCCCCCAACCTTTTGGGCACCAGGGACCAGTTCCGTGGAGAGAAGTTTCTCCGTGGACCAGAGGGTGTGTGATTTCGTGTGCTGCCTGCATCCCGTGAATGGGGCTTCGCTTGTTTGCATGGCCCAGTTTCTGGCATGTTGCAGTCCGGTGCTGGTCCATGGACCAGGGTTGGGAACCCTTAATCTAGAGAGCCCCTTGTTTCCTTGACCACTGAATGTTATCCCATGACTGTGTTATTACAGTGGATTTTGCTAATATCTTGTGGCTACATTTAGTGTCTTCTCTTTTATTTGAAAGCAATGGTTGACACTGATTTAAAAGCGATGGTTGATACTGGAGATAAAAAAACAAAAAGAGTTTGTGAGATACAGTGAGGTATGTAAACCGCCAGGGACGCTGCTGTATGTGACTAACCATTGCGTTGGGATCTTACACACCTAATGAAATTGTTGATCATCACTACATAAAGCTATGCTTCTTGTAGCTAATTATATGTACTATGTTATTTCTTTTTTTTAATACAATACTTTTTATTTTGGGTGATTTGCTATCTGAGCTCAATCTCTGTACTACTGGAATCGCCAGCAAGACTTCAGGCTTTGGGTCTTTTGTGTCAGCCAAACATCATTTACTTGGAGGAAAGCATTGTCTCTTGTTAATTTGTTTAATGTTGTTAGACATGTTGGGGTAATAACAAACGTTCTTCTTTTTGTCTGATCCTCATTTTCCATTCTCTGAAATTTTATAAAAATGCAATTTCAGGTATGGTCTTCTTCACTACAGAATCAGAATAAGGCTGGTCAAGGGCTTTGAAAAAAGATCCCAGTCCTAATACAATCCTTCAGTCCCATTGTCTTTGCTGAACATTGTTGAAGATGGCTTTGATGTTGCAGAATATTTACTGATGATTCTGCACTACTGTCAAATATTAATCCAGTGGTCCTTAGAAAATGGCTATAGGATTTTGCAGATCTCCCTCCCCATGGATGGAAGGCAGGGGTCACCCTTGCAAGTTACAGCCTAGCAACACAGGGATATCTTTTGTAGGATCTGGATCATGTTCTGAGTATCCTAAAAATTCTTAATTATTCCTCAGATTCAGTTTCCATTTGTTTTCAGACAAGAAGTTGGCCATTCCTGCAATTGCATTACTTTCTCCTTTGTCTTCTGATTGCAAGCAGCCATAACATAAACCAATCAAATGATATGTGATGTTCAAATGCTTTACTATGTACCCAACATGCTTGTTTTACCAATTCATCTATTTTTGTTCTTACAGTGTATTATCAGAAATGAAATTATGTGGAGCATTTTTCAGTGATGATTCCAACAACTGTCCATTATTTTAAGCCAGGGACCAGGCCTCCTCTTTCCCCCACTCAGCAACAATCTGTTCAGATGTTTTCATTCTCTCCACAAAAGTATCTTCTAATAAAAGTATTTAGAACTATACAGTATTCAGTATTACAGGGGACATCTTCATCTCTTTAACTTTATAGAGGATCTCCAACTGGAGGGACCAAATACATGTGGAGATCCTGGATGATCTAGCAACTGTATTTACTATGAACAGTTTTCTGCATGCACACAGCCAACTCAAAGGGTTGACTATAGAGTAAGCAACTTCTAGTGTGTCCATGCCCTCCCTCAATGTCGTGACTCTGGTGTCTGAGCATCAATAGGTACCTCTTCTGAACCGCAGTCAGGCCTTTAATTGATCAGCCAACTGCAATCAACTTCTTTAATTGATCAAATTTTATCTAGGTGAACAAGGGTCAAGAAACCTAAAGAAAAATTGTCTGGAAGTGTTTGTAAAATGCTAAATAGTAAGATAGATGTGAACCTGTGTTGCCAAACATGCAGGAGTTTGTTCCAAGGATATAAGAGATGCTCAGAAGGGCTAGATTGAAACCCCTTAAACTCTTCATTCCTACCTCTGTCAGTAGCACATTCATTTGGAATCAAAGCTCAAAATTAAATCTCTTCACTTTTTCGTTATTATTTTCAGTTTGGACATTTTGGGACCATTATAATTCTTAGCTGATGAGCCCAGAGAATGGTCTAGACTAGAGACACACAGTGCAGACATAGTGTTAAAGCTAAGCACATTGCAGTTTGAATGGAATCTATAGATAATGCAAAATGGCTGAATGAACGATGTGCTCTCAAAGTGGCACTAAAAATGGACTTTTGCTTTCCTCTGCAGGTGGTGCAGCACGACAGAAAAAATAAAAACATGCTATTCAGTGGCATCAGCTATTGAAAGAAGCCATAGTAACAGGGTGCAGCTAAATTTTGTCTGGAGATACTTGATAGGGAGTAATTAATACTCAAATATATGATATAACCAGACTTAAAAGCACCCTCAGCATGTGCCTTACACAAAATTCTTATCCTAAAATAATTTTCTGCTGCTTTGGGGCCATGGAGTCAACACCCGATGGATAAAATTCTTCAACATAACGTGAAGGAGATATCACCTAGGACGGAGCTGGAACAAGTTGAAACTAACATAGTCATCTTTTGAATTTAACACAGAAAATATTGAAAGTTTTATGGCACCAATCTCATCTTTAGATAATGTGTCAGTTCTGGAAATATGATCCACCAAGGCCTGATTTTGCAAAAATCTGTGTTTGAGTTAACATCCTTCAATTTGATTGTGCTATACTTTACACCAGGTTGAAGCAAACAATTTTTGTGATACTATCAGATGCATATCACATTCCTGTTTTTACACAAGACTTGCTACTCCAAGGATTAGACAAAAGTGAGGTTTGTCTTAAAGAAAATTAGAAAATATCCTGATAACACCCATGTAGTTGACAGCCACCTAGTGGCAAATGTATGCAATTACTGTCTATATGAACACATGAATTAGTCCACATGTTTACGCTATCCTCTTTCTCACTACACGCACTGCAACACTTCTTTTCAAGAACACTTCCTCCCAAAGTAATATTATTAATGCAATCGATTTATGTTTTCTGTGATGGTAATAGTAAATATGTTTGGGGTTAGGGATATCTTTTTGTTGTTGCCTATGTATAACATTTAATGGAAATATTTTAGCATTAATATTGGGAATGTGATTCCCTTTTATCATAAAAACTGAAGTAATTTTTCATAGTTTATAAATACTATTGAGAGAATTGCAGGTTTGTAAATAGCTGTTCCCTTTTGTATATTCACTTATATGAGACTGAAGGTGTAGAAATTACTTTATAAGCTGAATTTAGCAATTATAATTTGGAAAGAAGATACTGACTGAGAGATATCCTGCTGAAATAAAACTAATGCTGTATTATAGTGGGCTTTGCAAAGCTAAATTCAATTTCCTCTCCAGATCTGGGACAGTCCTGCCTTCTCAGGGTCTACACATGAAAGGTTTTGCCTGTGTCACCTAGAATAATGGGGAATTACAAGTCTAGAAAATACCAGGTTTAAAAAAAGCTAGCATGGGTATTTAAAACAAGAAGTTAACTTTGCCCAAGTTTTAGTTTATCACAGAATTTGAACAGAACCCAAGAATGTAATTGAGCCAGGTGCCTTCACAGCAGTGTTTTGCAGCCTTGGCATCTTTAAGCTATATTGCTGGGGAATTCTGAGAGTTGGTCCACACTGCTTAAAATGAATAAGATGGAGAAAAAGTGCTCCAGATATATTGCACTACAACACCTGTAATAGTAGGAAGCACGATGGTTCAGTGTCTTAATGATGCTGGAGATGGTTTCAGCTCCAGCGTTCAAGCCCAAGCACTGCATGGCAGAGTGAGTTCCTGTCACTCGCCTCAGTTCTGTCCACCTATCAGTTCGAAAGCATATTCTATGCAAGTAGATAAATAGGTACCACTTCTGTGGGGAAATGTGCTGGTGCTCTGTGCAGGAGTCAGATTCCTGATGGTTCTAACCTTTCCAGTTGCGGCGCCCATTCGTGAGGCAGCTCTGGGACGAGAGGGCGGCCTTGGATGACGCTGCAGGAAGAGCCACTCTTCTTTCTCTCTTATACAAAGCGAGCTTGCCCTCCTATGATGCACTTTGAGAAGCACACAAGTGTGTCCTATAATAGGGCTGGTACATTGGCAAGCCAAACTACTACTCTGCAATAGTATTGTGGTCTCCTGGCTACTGTAACAATGCCATACACTAATAATAATAATAATAATAATAATAATAATAATAATAATAATAATAATAATAATAGTAGTAGTAGTAGTAGTAGTAGTAGTAGTAGTAGTAGTAACAACAACAACAACCTGTAATAGTATAGTACAGTGGTTCTCAACCTGTGGTCCACGGACCGCTGAAGGGCTGTGATGTCATCCCGGGTTCTGCGAAGGCTTGAAGAAATGTTATGATTTACATCTTGAGTTAAGTCTTGATGGTATGTGGCCACAAAAGGTATTTAAAGGGGTCTGTAGTGAAGAAAAGGTTGAGAACCACTGGTATAGTACATCTAGAGGGCATCAGATTGAGGGAGGTTGCTGCAGTTTTTGGAGATGATTATGGGAGCAGTTTCTGAACACTGGATACTACCTTCCTCCAGTCTTGTGAAATTACATAATAGAGCATGTCCTATTTTCACCATACATAGAAGCAGTGAGCAGTGTCACAAAGTGATAAATAAAGGAGACTGGGCTCCTATAGTTGAATCTTCTTACTTCTGCATGCTGATGTAGTTATCAAATTTTTCATTTTTTTAACGGAATTGTTTTCCTCACCAACCCAAGTCAACAATAGTAGGTATTTATCATCATTTTGCTACAATTAAATCTACAGTAAGATTATGAATGAGCCTTCTGGTGGTTCTACAGCATAACATCTCCAAGTTTGTGTTTATGTTTGTGTGTGTGTGTGTATTTACTTAGGTCACATACACTTGGCACAATAAACTTGATTTCATTTAACAAGTTTACAACATTGTTTTTTATTATTTTATTGTATTATAAGTGCTGAAATGTGCAAATCAAATGTTCAGATTGTGTCCCTCAAGTTTGTAAGCCTGGCTGAAAGCTTTTGTTTCTAAATATGCTCCATTGCCAGATTCATTGCTTTAATCCAGGGACCAGGAGTCTTTTAAAGTAATGTACATTCCTGCCCTGTATATTTTTTATTAAAATTTTATTAAAATTCATCAAATCTTCTAAAATTTAGGATCTCACTCTTAAGATCTTAATCTCCCATAAGAATACTTTGTGCAAGATTTCTTGATGCAGTTGTGATGGTCATAACAGCTTTTAGTTATTTTAATTGTTAACATTTATTTTTATTGAATTATTATGTTCAAAGTATCCTCTATAGTGCCTTGATTTAATTTGTAGCCTTGTCACAATGGCACTGCAGCTATTCAGTTTCATTTCATTAAGATGAAAACCCCAAAGCTTGGGGCCTTTTATGTCATGGATGGTGAAATTCCAAAAATGTATATAATGTCTTCAATTGACAATGCATATATATATATAAAAGCCCTAGTACAGCGGTTCCCAATCTTTTCTATATTCCACACCCCTAGAACGCTTTTGATATATTCTCGCACCCCTTACAAAAGTTCGAAATAATAGCATATAAATTATAATTTTGAAATGTCTAAACCCAAGTTTTTGCACCCCCTGGAATATCATCTCACACCCCCAGGGTGTGCGAGCACCCCTGGTTGGGAACCCCTGCCCTAGTACAACAGGGAAAAAACCTGCTTCAGTACTGTTTTCATCATGCAAAGTTTTTCTGGGGCATAGTCTCTTCAACCTTCAATGGAAAAGTATGCAATCCCATGGAATCATAGAATGATGGAGTCAGAAGGGATTACAAGGACCATCTAGCATAATTCTCTTCACTGTGTAGGGAAACCGCTTGTCTCAAGAAGCAGCCACCCCATGTGTTAAAATGATCTAAAGATACTCTGCAATGTCAGATGTGCATGAACACACTGTCATTATATGACATTATATGACCATACTCCCATAGCTACTTTTGTTGATCTATTTCCTACAATAGAAAGGTTATTCCGATCCTTGCCATTCAGCCATTCATGCAGAAAAGACATGTCAGGCAGGAAAAAGGGGGGGCATTTCTAAAGGTGCTATGTTTGCTATTGAGACATTTGGGAGAATCTTCTTTTATGTCAATGCTCTAACACAGGCATTGTTGTTTAATGCCACATTCCAGATTTTTACAATGTAGAGTTTTCCATATGCATTGAATTACAACAGTTACAACAATGAAGATGGCTGTTGTAATTCAGTGCATATGGAAAACTCGTCTAGATTATAAAGAGCTGGAATTTGGCATTAAACAACAGTGCTTGTGTTCAAGCACTGACATAAAAGAAAATTGTCCCAAAAGTCTCAGTACCAAATGTAGACTATATACCACCTTTAGCAATGCCACCTTTTTGTCCCACGTGACATGTCTTTTCTACATGAATGGCTGAATGGCAATGATCAGAATAACCACTTGTAGTAAACAGATCAACAAAAGCAGCTATGAGACCATGGCATCTCTAACTAACAGTCCTCATGTCACCATGGCCCCCAACAGAGTAATAATAAAGATAGTGATATTTTTCATAGTTCTGCACTGCCTTCTAAACTTTTAATTCTGGTGTATAATCTTTTATGTGAAATGCACATTTGGATTTTGAGGGACATACCAGGGTCCACTTTCCAAAAAGTTGGTGAAACTAGCCAAAAATTAAACATGATTTAGTTTATATTCAATTACTTAAATCATCTCATTGCTTCTTCTGCCACATTAAAAATCAATCACTTTCAAAGGTGCTCTGGGGGACACACCCTCTCTACTTGCGAGGTTTGTACAAGCAACTCTGCAACAAGGATTAGAAAACAAATACCGAATTATGGTGGCAATCTAGTTCATGTTTCCCTGTGACCTATTTCTAAAGGTGTGTCAGATCAGTTTTGTGAATGACTTGAAACCAATACAAGAAAAACAAGTAGAAAAGCAAAGCAGCCCAAATGCAGAAGAGAGCATACGTTTCTAAATAGCTGAAGAAAATAGAATATGATTCACACCTGGGGCTTTTTTTAAAGTCACTGTATTATGTCCTAAAACACATTGTTAAGGCTGCCACTTGTGGGGTTTGAGAAGCAACATTACGGGCAATAGCACAAAACAAAGATTGCTGATACATGACTGTGCCACCTTTATGTTCATTTGAAGAGGGGTTCTTGGAGCTACCAGACTTGGGCTGTGAGATCCAGATAACTACCACAGAATCAAGAGATTCATAAAAGTTTAACTCTTTACTACCCCATAGTGGTCTTCTAGATGTCCACTATTCAGCTCTGGTAGCCCTATTCCACTGAATTTGCCGAGAAATGACAATCTACCTGGAAAATAATACATAAATGCAATCACACGGTTTGTCCAGGTGATGGCTCCATTGTGCCCTGCAGTGAGATTCTCAAAAGTCATTCTGTAAAAGAAATTTAGACTGTGGGCTGATTTACACAATACATTGAAGATACAGTGTTGTATTGAACTTACTAATTATGTCAGTACTAGCAGAGGAGAGGGAGGCAGTTTTACCCCAAAACTGTCCCAGGACAATTATGAATCAGCACCTTCTCTTCAACAACCATGTTATTTGAATCCCAAAGTCCACTTGACTGTGTGGTAGTTGAAGTCTGGTCTTTTCAAGGCAAGAGGTGGAATTATAGATCAGTTGGAACAACAGGACCCTGTTGTTTGTTCTGTGACAATTTGCTGCCATGGCCAGGCTACCACAAAATACTCTTCCCAAGACTGCCAAAGGCACACCCAGTGATCAATAGGCAAGAGTCTTTGGATAAAAGGAAATAAAACTTTACTACCGGTAGGAATCTCTTGATACGAAGACTTATTGATTACTAGGCAACAAAAGAGAGATTGGGCGCCTTTTCACAAAAATATGGATATTCTGATTGTGGAGCTATGACTCCATTCAGTATTCCTTTAATATAATTATTTTATTAAACATTACAGTTAAAGAGATAAAAGCTAATACAAACTTCAAAATATAAAAGAATAACAATGATAAGAAATAGCACAGAAAAATGAAAAA